TTCTTTCTGTTTATAAATATCAGTTATACATATGTATGTGTTTATATATATCCGTTTTCAAATCAAATAATCAATTTTATCACATTATAAAGATTTTTTTCTTTTCAACCAAAGGAAAACAGTACACTAGCAATTTTCAGGATTTCCTCCTCTCCAATCACGATCTACAGGGTAAAATGAGCTGGGAGATGTCTCATTTTAATCAGAAATGTGCGGGCTACAATCATGTCTCGCTAAGAAAAGGTTTTGGTTATTTTTTAGAGTTTCTGAAAAACTGTTTTTCCGGAAAACCAGGTCTTCAAGAGTCAAGGGGATGAATCCTTTTAGAGTTTTTATCTACACTATGAGTCCTACCTATTAGCAGAGTATGAGCTCAAACAGAGGGTATCAGTTGGTGAGGTTTCCTCGTGAGACAAATCTGGGATTGCACAGAGCCCCGACACAGATATTCGTGATCCACATGGCTAGTACTTCAAACCCTGAAAGTTTCGTTATGGACCAATGCCATTCGACCGAAAAAATTAAGGTTAAAGTTGAACTGAAGACACGTGTGCGTAAATTGATATAGAACATACCACCATTACACTGATCTCTGGCGCAAATGACAAGACACAGATTTTCTAGTGCAGTTTTTGACGATGACTCCAATGATGAGAACTGTAGGACTCTAGCTGCGATAGAAAAAATGTTCTATACAAAATACTTTCGCAGCGAAAAATTGCGTTTTTCCGTAGAAATACCCTTTGTTCTGACGAATACTTAGACCACAATTTCCTGTCGTAGAAGTTTCATTTTGTTTTCAAATGAAAGATCTCCACGAGATCTATCCAAATTTGAAAAGAAAGATCATGTACAATACCAGGATCTTAAGAGAAAGGTTTTTTGCGAAGCTCAGTTTTTCAGAAAACCTAGAGGACTTTGGAAAAATTTTATAGCCTTCTAAATCCGCTAATCGATAGCCTATTCAATTCTCTTCAAAATGGGACGCATTAACTACATTTCAACGTCATTCGGTTGAAAAACTAGAGCCATTTTTCTACAGCGAGTGAAAGTGGAACTTGACTTTTAACTTTGACGTGGAATATTCGTTTATCTCCGCATTTTCTCTATCCCTCTTGGAGGAAATGCGGTAGAAACTTGTTTGACGTCTCATTTTGAAGAGAATTGAATAAGCTATCGATTGGCGGATTTGGAAGGCTATAGAATTCTTCACCATTTAAGGTCACCAGAAGTAGCGCCGAATAGCAGAAGCTCCTATCCGACAAGCACCGTGGAGCTAAATTCTGACTCCAGCCATTGGCATTGAAGCCTTTATCCCAAAAACAAGTACACACCTTGCGAAAAATTGCGGTAATCTCAAGCGCAGAGAGTGAGAGTTTCGTTCTCTAATTGTGAATGCTCTTCGCTTGTTACAGTAGCAGACAAAGAAACTAGAAGTATGGATACTTCGATACCAATATTACCCTTGGCATCGAAATTCGATATCGATACCAATAAAGTAAAATCATTATCTATAATTCCCTATTAGTTACTTTTCCTCTAATGGCTAAAGAAAGTTTCATCTTGGGATCAGAAAGGTTGCACGTACCTTGAGCACTTGTATATCTTTTCGTAGGTGTAGTCATATGACTTCTTGTATCACTCATTGTCTTTGACAATCCAAAATCGCAAATTTTAGCTTGTTCCTCATTTAATTGCAATAAAATATTATGACTTTTTAAATCCCCATGTATGACATTACGTTCATGCAAATAATTCATTCCTTGTGCAATATCATTTGCAATTGATTTACATTTATACCAATATGAGTTTGTATTCATTTCATCATATGATCGTTGGATATATTCAAACAATGTACCACCTTCAATAAATTCCATAATCAAATAGGTATCTGTTCGATCTTGCTGGTGATCAAAACATTGAATGATATTTGGATGGTTTAATGTCCGTAATAGTTTCATTTCCTGTTCAGCATGACGTGTATGCTGACCAACAAATTTTTTTATAGCTACAACTCGATTGTTCCACGTTCCTTGATAAACGATACCTGCTGAGCCTTCACCAAGTACTTGTCCCAAAACAAAATTCATTATTATTTGTGAGAAAGAGTTATAATGAAAGAAACAATACCGTAGAATGATAGGAATTTTTGTACTACGTAATTGCACAATGTTTGTGGAAAGAATCGTAGTGTTGTACTGAGAAATGAAAAAAAGAAAAAAAATTCACAGATTGCAAAAAGGATAGAAAATTTTTTTATTTTAGTATTTAATATTCCTCTTTTGTTGATTTTGAGTCAAAAACAACACATTTACATTCTAATTGATACAAAAAAACGTGATGGATTGTTACGCATTAAAATTCAAGTAGCAAAAACACAGTGTGAAAAAAGTAGATGCGCAAGAACAGCAAATAGCAAGGATGGTACTTCTTTAGGAGGGAAGCTTGATGACTACTTTCTTTGAGAAACCCCTTTGAAACAAGGTTCGACTGAATTCTGATAGTCTTGACAAATAAGTGACTTTCTACGACAATAGAAAATATGAATTTCATCGTTGTGTAACGAGTAAGTAAAAACAACGAACTTCGGTGAAAACTTTTATACAACTGAAAGTAATAAGAGACGCAACAGACCGTAGTACTGC